TTGACAGCTGCAACGTATGTGTGTGTGTGTGTGTGTGTGTGTGTGTGTGTGTTCGTGTATACTGGGGGGTTGTAACAATGGCCGCTCTCCACGGGACCATGAATCAAAGTGTCCTTTAAAGCTCAGCTGTAGGACCAGATACAAACCATGAAGACGAAGGAGAGCGAAGAGTAGAAACTCACAAACAATCCTTAAATCCAGGTTTTATATATTTTATATAAGATAAAAACATAACTGGATACTTGATGAGTTGCAGACAGATTTAAAATCAGCTTGAGATTATTTTCTTTTTGCAGCAGTTTACATCAAAGCTCTTGTTTGAATATTTCTTCCACCACAGTTGACGGATGTAAAAGTACAAATATTAAAAATCTTAAGACAGTAAAAGCATATCATTTTATTTTATTTTGGGGGTATACCCAATCTTTACAGGAGTTATCACACTTTTCATATACAGCTGCAGACTGTTCTCTTTATACAATTATTTACAGATGTGTATTTGATGTGTATGTGTATATGTGTGTTGTGTATTTTATCAAAAAGAAAGTTCTGCAGAAAAAATGTCTCCTGTGTCAGTGATCAGTCGATCACTGACACTATTAGATTAGATAAGCAGCATTTTACTGTTGAACTACTTTATATACAACACTGAACGTACTGATCTCAGGATGGATCATCTGTGACCGTCTGAGCAGCAACACAAAAATGGATGTATTGCAGCTTCAAGACCTCTGATAGTCCTCTGATAGACTAAATTGGGTTTTTTAAAATAAACTGTCGGTCCTTTGTCAGGTATTAATTGGGCCTCTGTTAGACCTCTGTTAGACCTTCGTTGGGCCTCTATTGGACCTTCTTTGGGCTTCTATTGGACCTTTGTTGGACCTCTGTCAGTCCTCTATCGGATTCGGATTGGAGTGATAAAATTAACTATCTGTCCTCTGTTGGAGCTCTGTTGGTCCTCTGGCTGTGCAGCATCACCTGTTGGAAGCGGACCGACCTCATGCAGTGAGCCTGTAATCTGTTCAGTTCTGTTCAGTCCAGTAATTACTGAAGTGTCTGTGGTCCGGGNNGGGGGGGGGTTCGTGTCAAGGGTCCTGTTGACCCTGGAGGTGCTCCAGGATGAGAACTGGCCTTTCTTCCCTCCTGGACCAGCTGACCCCCTGGAGAGCAGCCAGCCCCTCGCGTCACTCATCCTGCCCCGAGCAGCCAAACTGTAACCGGAGAGGAGGAAGAACCTGGGACTCAACTCTGAACCAGGAGGGACGGTCAGCTGATCAGTGACCTATGATCCGTATCACAATATCAATGATCAGTTAACTGGTCGGTTGAACATCGGGTCATTATTGGTTCTTGAAGCTGATTAATTTAATATTATATTAGAATCAGAAAATGTATTAAAATTATAATATAAGTTGATTTTAAATGTGGTTTAATATCATTAAATAAATGATCTGCTTTTAACATCCATATCAGAATTCTTAAATTAATGTTATTTAATTTCCTCGTCTACTTTAAATCAAACTTGACTTGGAAATCAACTTTATTGATTGATAAATAAGCCTCCGCAGTATCAGAAATGTATCTTACTGATTAACTTCCTGTATAAATCGTTATAAATTGTTGTTTTCCAATAATAAAACACAAGAAATCAGAATATTTGAGTATAGATGGAAGAAGAAAATGATTATTTTTCCCAAAGATCAAAGATTGACCTCTGACCTCAACTATAGGCCTATATAATGTTGTACATGTAACTAAGTACATTAAAGTACATTTACTGTGTTTAAAGCTCCAGTGTTTAACCATTGAGGAGGAAAATTATTGGGCCCAACGAGAAATTAATATAATATTAATGTTTTCATTATAATCACCTGAGGAGACTTTTTACTGCACAATATCTACTCTTCCTCCACCACTGAGCTTTATTGACGTCTCACCACTGTTGGGCGGTAACTCAATACTAGTAATAATATTACAGTATTACTTTAACCAGTAACTAGTAGTGTAACTAATTATCTAAAAAAATCCAGTAATAATACAGTTACTCCCCAAAAAGTTGATTTTAATCGTCGTTAGTCTGACTTTTGGGGACTCAATTACCAATTTTTTGAGGAGTAGCAGAAAAGTAATGTAACTAGAAGTGTAACTAATTACTCTTGGTAATAAATAAAGTACACTGTAAGAAAATATACATCATATCTACTTAATAAAATTAAATCAACAGATTACAATCAATATTATTAACACAATATAACTACGTTTGGTATTGAGTTCATATAAATTCATATTAATTTCATAGAAATGATATATAATTGAGTATATTCACCTACATTTATAGGTGTATTTTACATTTTTTATTCAATTTGGCGACAAACAAAAGTGTGAATGAAACTCTTTATTACCAAATCTTAAAACAAACATTTTAAATTGATATTTACTTAAATAATCAAAGGACACAATTATATTGAATATATTTAACCTAATAAATTAATTAAATGCCCACAGAATCATTTATTAAGTGTAATAAAGTTACTTTTGATTAGAGTCATTAGGATGTGAGATGATCCCTCAGAGCTCTTTATGAGGCTCATTGTGATAAAATAATAATTATAAATATCAAATATATAAGTGGCTCATAATGTTTAAAAACTGATGATTTACATAACATAACATAATGAAGTAAATAAGACTTTAAGTGCACTGACTCCATCCATAGACCTCAGTCTGTGTGCACTCATATGATTATAATCCTGTTATATAACTTCTGCTGTTTGCGTGGCTGCAGCTCGGAGCTCAAAACGCACCGGATGAACTTGAGCAGCTGACCGGGAAACAGTTGATCCGTGCGGGCTAAATTTATCCAGTGTTGACGGTCCGGAGGAGGAAGAAGACGCAGTTTATTCTAAAGAAGCAGTCAGAGTGGATCAGTGACCGGGCGGTGATCATGACTGAGCCCGCAGGGAAGAGGTTAAAGAGCGGCCTGCCGCTGTGCACCGCGCACCGGAGCTCCGCGGGCAGCCGGGCCAGACACAACCTGCAGGCCGCCGTGGAGGAGGCTCTGTGCGGGGTGAGCAGCCTGCTGTGGGACGGAGCGTACCGCCTGCAGGCTCTGGTAGGTCAATAATCACAGAGAGGACTTTAACAAGGATGAGTAACTAATACTCAACTACTTTACTCGAGTATTTCTGCAGCTTTATACTTCTACTCCACTACATCTGTCTGACAGCTTTAGTTACTTGTTATTTTCAGATTACAGCAGTAATATTAAACATAAACATTAATAAAGCAGAAATATTAAACTTAAAGTATGAAAAGTTTCATACTTAAAGGACATTTAGCTTATAATACTTGTAATGGAGTATTTGTGAAAGATCTGAATACTTTTAACATCACTTACAACCATAGAAACTCTTATCTGAGAATATGTTAGAATATAAAATATAATAAACATTTTAATATTGTGTGATTTTACTAAACAAACAATCATATAAAGGAAAGTACATTATATGCTGTTTTCAGGTTCTACAGTTTGTTTTTCCCCTTTTATTATGTTATTTTTTATATATTGTTTAGATCACATCAATAAAAGATCATTATTTTTTTTTGTAAAAACTTTAGACTATTTCAAGAATATTTACCAATTTTCTGTACTAAAGAAATACATTCAAAATTATTAGCGAACAAAATGTTAATATTTTGTATATTTATTTATTTAAATCCGCATTATAAAAAAAAAAAACACAAAATAAAGTCATGCATACAGACAGACTTCATAAAAGACAACCTTAATGATTGTTATAATATATGTAATATAAATAATATAAAGGTAATGTTTTCCTTCCTGCAGGCCAGTGTGTTTGAGCGGGACGACGTCGCTCTGCCCCGCGTCGCCTCTTTCTTCCACCAGGAGGCGCTGAAGCAGGAGGAGGAGGCCGAGGCCATGCTGGGGTATCTGGCTGAGAGAGGGGGCAACTACTGCGGCAGGGACATCCAGGTACCAACTGTACTTTTAACCAACGTTGTTTAATACCTTTTTCACTGTTTTGTTTTTATTCTCTTCGTTTTTTATGTTAAAAACGTTGTTTTACTTTAATGTAACAAATATAAATATATTTATCAGTTTTTGAGTTGGGAAATAATAATATAAAGTAGCCTTATCACAAAAAATTGAGTTTAAGCAACTTTATTTAATGTAAATTAGATGTAAATGTAACGTAAAAGTCCATTTTAATCATTTAATCATACTCTACATTAAATAATTATAAAACATTCAAGCAAATATGTTAACATTTAATCATTTATATAACAAATTCTTCTTATTATCACTGACTTCCTGCACCAAAATCACAATTGTATTTATTTTAATGTGTCTAATAACAGTTATATAATAATAGACTTTAAAATTAACATGTTTTATGAGTAAAATCTGACTCCAGCTGTCAGATAATGTAGTTATATAAGTATTAGTATTTCAGTCTAACACACAGCAGCAGTCAGTCAGAGGTCAGGTTCACTAGCATTAGTTGCCCAGAGACACTTCAGCAGGGTTTGGTGGAGGGGGGGTGGAGGGTTGCTGGATCCTCGTGGGTCCCGGGGGGGTTCGGGCGATCCGCTATGATTTGTGGACCCATTTTGAAACAGAATTTATGATCCGAACTTTATCTGTGAGACAGAGAAGCTTCAGTCTCGTTTTACTGCGCGATCCTTCACTTTGTCAGAGCAGGTGTCTTCGTCTGTGTTTCTCATCTCTCTTTGGAACGAAGCTCTTCATTTGGGCCCGGCGTTTGGGGTAGGATGGAGGGATGGCGGGGGGCTCGAGGGGACGGTTAAAACCCCTGGAGACCTGCCCCCCAGCTCTGGCCTAAAGCTGGTCAGGGTGTACATTTCCCCCCCCCCTCTACCCGCCATGAGTTCCGGAAAATTGGCGAGATTAATGCTGCGGCAGAGGGACAGCGGCGCTGATGGCGTTTCCAGATGGCCAGTGCCAACGGCGGCAGTGGCGTTGGCGCGTCACAGCGTGGCCTCCGACCGCCGGCCCCCGGTTTATGAGTCGTGTAAAATCGTTTCAGGACTGAGGCCCGAGTCCAGTCAGCAGCAGTTTGGGACACCTCGTTATCCGTCTCTCAAGTGCCGCCAAACCTCGACGAGATTCCTGCGCGGCTTCCTGGGTGATTTTTATTGTTTGTAGGAAAGTTATAAAGTAAACAAAGTGCCCCGCATCCAACACGGAGACTAAATAACATCAACACGTCACGGAGAAAGAAACTTAATCTCCCAAACGCTTCTACAAAAGTGGGTCAGATGAGTTGGAGTGAAGTTAAAGTTACACATGAAATGGAAAGTACAGCGGCACAAGATTTCAGGATCTTGTGTTACAGATATTTATTTGTTTACATTCAAACTAAACACTAAATCACCCAAACGGCTACCGTGCCGACGTGTCCTTTAATATTTCAGAAGCCGGGTTGCGAGGCGGTCTGCGCGCTGTTGCCGGCTCTGGAGCTGCTGCTGCTCCAGCTGAAGGAGGAGGTCGGCGTCCTGGTGGAGCTGAACCAGCTGGCTCGCACCAACGGCGACCCGCACACCGCCAGCGTCGTGAAGAGCCACTTCCTGACGCCGCGGGTGGACCGCCTCAAACTGCTGGGAGACCTGCTTACCAACGCCCGGCGGGTGGGCTGCACCAGCGACCACACGGGGGGGTTCGGGGAGTACCTCCTCAACGAGCTGCAGGAGGAGCTCACCAGATGATCAATCAGTCTGGATCAATACGATTGGAAATGTCTGAGAACAAAAGTTAAATTTGCTTTGTGAAAGATATAAATATTATTTTCTCCAAAGAACCAGGGTGCATTTTGGGAAATTTTCTCGTTAGCCACCTCCCCCTTCCTCCCGTACAGAGATCTGTCGAGGTCATATGTAGCCTAGCTTAGCACAAAAAGACTAGAAGAAGTAACTTCACTCCGTCAAAAGAGAGAAATACTTTCCAGGGTGTGTTTAGCCTAGCTTAGCACAAACACTGAAAGCAGAGGGAAACTGCTAGCCTAATAAAATGCACCTTAAACAACCCTAAAGCTCTTGAACGTTCTCCGTTAAAGTATGTTTTATGATTATATTAGTGAATAATAATCAGTTTTTGATAAACGGGAAATTCAACCTATCGAGGAGGTCTCGGCTGCAGGCTATTTAGCCTAGCTTAGCACAAATACTGAGCCAAGCTCCATGAAAAGAACAGAAGCACCTTTAAACAAACTGTTCTTCAGTTTAAGCTTTAATCTAACATTCAAAGCAGCTAGCTAACTAGCAAAGTGCCTCCTATCATTCTTGTTGTTTATTTTATTGTTTGTGTGTTTAAATAGTAAATTAAAGAAACAGAAGGTGACGTCATCCTGGGTGTGTTTAGCCTAGCTTAGCACAAAGACTGCACCAAAAGAAAAAGAAAATCCAACCTAACGTCTCCAAAGCTCTGATTTACATTTGGTATCTTGTTAGCTTACAAACCCTAAACTCTACTTTAATGAGAATTAGATCTGTTTTTTTTGTATTAAAATTATATTTTTCTGAACATATTTTTCTACAAAACTGAGCCAGTGTAAATTTTGATTATCACGAATATATAAACTTACCAAAGAAGTGCTAATGTTCAATAACCAGTTATATAGAAACTATATAAACTAAATAAATTAAAAACGATGTTTATTTGACACGTTGAGACGTTGTACGTGTGCTGCTACGCTTTGTCTTCTGTTTGTTAACTCGTGTATACAAACATATGAGTGTGATTTCATTTTTATCATTTATTCACCGCGTGTTCAGTATTTAATCTTATATTCTTGTTTTGTGACTTTTATTGTGACAGTCTCACTACGGAGGCCACGAGGTGTTTGACAGTTGTACGTTTATTTTCAGATGTTTGTTGTTATTGGTTTGGGTTTGTTGTGTATTATGTAATAAAGTTTACTTTGTTTCAAATGTTTATAAAGTCCAGAAATAATAAAAATAAAGTTAAAGAACCGTTTTATGGCAGTTTTTTCCAGTGTCAGTCCTCGGTTTCATATTTAAAAGGAGTTTTTGACCATTTAAATTACAGGTAAATTTACATTTGTACAGCAACGACAACAACATTTATTTAATATTAGTAAAAACACAAACATTAGCAGCTTGTATTCAGTTGTTGTCGAGGGTTATGTCTTGTATTAAAAGACCTGTCAGTCATTTTTGGAGTGATAATCCTTTGAGTAGAGGGTTTGAATATTTCCTCAAACACTTGAAGCATCCACAGAGTCCAGCTTCTAACCATCTGTCACTTTAGACTGGCAGAGGTCGATCAGTTAGTCCACAGCCTGTGAGACTAAACTCAGCAGCACAGCAGCAGTTGGTGCAGTATCTGCTCTGCGGCGCCCTCCAGCTGCAGCTCACGTGTACTGCAGCGACATCAAACTGCTGCATGTTTTAAGGGGAAATTAATAATCTAATGTTTCTGGATGCAGTCGGTGCAGCTGTGGGCGGAGGTCAGTGACTCTCCCTCCATAAATAAGTTGTTCTGATAATAATCTAATTCTGAGTTCACAGTTTGATGCAGTAAACCCTTTAAAAATGGTGTTCGGCTCAGTAAAGACCTGAAAAGTGAGTTTTTTAATGCTAATTTAACTCTTAATGAGCAGAAGCGAGGAGGTCAGAGGTCAGAGGTCACAGCTGTACACAAAAGTGCATCTTTTGAATTTTCATTTTTTTTACCCAAACTTGACTTATTTTATAATATTCTAGCTGCTGAACTTGAATTAAACAGAACTCAAGCTTTTATTTTTTAGTGTTTTCTTGCTTTTATTTTGAAAATTCTACTTTTTTTAGCACAAAAATTATACTTTTGAGCTTTTTTCCTCTTTAATTAAAGTTCAAATAAATTGGAAATGGTGTTTCCTTGTACTTTTATATTTATAGTTTTACTTCATTCTTGTTAGGTTGATTTATTATTCTAATATAATAAGTTAATTTAACTCAAAAATGAGTTTGTTTTACTTTAAATCTGTTCCAACAAGTGTTTGTGAGTTAAAATAACTTATTGCATTTAATGACTTACATTCATTTTAGTTTTTGTTTCGTTTTAAATCTTTATTGTTTTACATTTATTGAATAAAGTTGAGAAAAAAACAAACCTTTGACAGCAGTAAATATGAATCCGGCCTCATGATCACATTTTAATTATATTTTAACAGAATAATAAGAATAATAATAAAGTTAAAATCTGTTCTTATGTCTTTACAGTATTTATGATTTAACTGCCCCACATGTGTGCGACCCCCCCCCGCTGTTACTGCTCTGTTAGGGGTAATTGAACACTAATCACCGTGAAGTTGTAAACCCCTCCCCGCTGCCTCCTGATTGGTCGAGCCTCAGAGGACGTCACCTCCCTGACCCCGCCCCCCTGGGGGTGTCCCAGGTATAAGATGCTCCAGGTCAACAGCTGAGAGGACAGAACAGGACTCTACATTCCCCCGAAAACTCTCCAACCTGCTCCCGAGTTCCTCCTCTTCCTCCTCTTCCTCCCTCTTCTTCTTCCCTGTAAAAACTTGTGTGTCTCACTGGATTTTAGTTTCTTCTTCTTCTGTGGTGTTTATTTGGGACTGAAGCATGGAGCTGTCGGATATCTCTTTCCCGATTCCCGCCGCGGATGATTTCTATGACGACCCCTGCTTCAACACCAGCGACATGCACTTCTTCGAGGACCTGGACCCGCGGCTGGTCCATGTGGGTCTCCTGAAGCCGGACGACTCCTCCTCTTCGGTGTCACCCTCCCCTTCCTCCTCCTCCTCCTCCTCCTCGCCCTCATCCCTGCTGCACCTCCATCACCACCACGCCGAGGCGGAGGACGACGAGCACGTCCGCGCCCCCAGCGGGCACCACCAGGCGGGCCGCTGCCTGCTGTGGGCCTGCAAGGCCTGCAAGAGGAAGACCACCAACGCGGACCGGAGGAAGGCGGCCACCCTACGGGAGCGCAGGAGGCTCAGTAAGGTCAACGACGCCTTCGAGACCCTGAAGCGGTGCACGTCGGCCAACCCGAACCAGAGGTTGCCCAAAGTGGAGATCCTGCGCAACGCCATCAGCTACATCGAGTCCCTGCAGGCGCTGCTGCGCGGCGGGCAGGACGACGGCTTCTACCCGGTGCTGGAGCACTACAGCGGGGACTCCGACGCCTCCAGCCCCCGCTCCAACTGCTCAGACGGGATGGTGAGTTCAGACCGTCCGCTGCGTCTCCGGTGCGTCTCCGGTGCGTCTTTACGCACAGACGAACTGGAGGGTTTTTTCTATTCAATTTCATTTTCAAAGTCATTTTCGTTGAGTTTAATTTATTGTTTATGTGTTTATATCTTCTATTTATTAGATTCAGTGCGTTGATCTCTTGTTTAAAGATGTTTTCTAGTTTAAATCTGGATTTAAATCTGGACAGTTTCCACGAAGCGCAGGAAACTTTAATAAAGTTTTGGCTCAAATTTATAATTTTCTCGTTTTATTTTCGCGGTTTAACTTCAGTGTTTTTGTGTTTAAACTATATTGAAGTTTCTGAACTTCAGTCTGTGATTATTATTTAGTGTCGGAACGAAACAAGTTCAAGTTTTTTTTTTTAATCAGTATTTGTCCCATAATCAGATTTATTAGTGATTAATGTTTATAATTAATCAGTTCTGTGATCAATAAATAATTATATAAAACAAAAATGTTTTGTTTTTAAAATAAATGACATTAAATAAGTAAAAATGGTTGAAAAGAGGAAAAAAACATGAAAAAGTTCAACGAACTGAAATAAATTCACCAACATTTAGTTCTGTAATAATTTAATTTTCCTTTCAAAATTTCAGGAAAAATGTCCTGAAAGATTTTATTTAAATAAAATAAACTATAAAAAACGTTCAGTTGTAAATGAACAATTTATTTTTCTACAGTTTCATTTATTTCATCCGTTTGAGTTTTTGTGTTATTCTAATTTAAACCTTCCGGACGTTGCTGCCACATCCAGTCTTCAGATTCTCTGTTATATTATTGATTATTATTCGATCGATCTGATCTGTAAACTGATGCTTTGTGTCTCTGCAGGACTTTAACGGACCGACCTGTCAGTCCAACCGGAGAGGAAGTTACGACAGCAGCTCTTATTTCTCCGAGACTCCAAAAGGTGAGAAACCAGCGCGGACATTACCGGATATTACCGGATATTAACGGCTAATTGGGCCGCTAATGAGGATAATTAATGACTTTATTCACCTGGTTGTAAAACAAATACAGTCAGGAGGAGACTGAGGCAATAAAACAGTAAAATTAAATCTATTAAACTCACTTTTGTTAAATATAAACAGGAGATTTTGTATTTTAACTTATAGTAACTTATTTAGTTAGAATAATGTTGAATTATTGGCAAAGAAAAAAAGTGGATTTTACTTTATTTTTAACTTATTTTTCTATTAATAGTAAAACTTAAAATTTTACTGAGATATATTTTCAGTTAATTCCAGAGATGAAATTATTTATATTTTATTTACAATAAATCCAGTTGTTAATTAAAAACATCAACTCAGAGACATTTTGTTCTAAACAGGAAAATTATTATAGAAAATATAGTTAATTAGTGTGATCATACAAATTCATAATATTTTATCTTTTATTACAGAACAAAACTTTGTTTCTGTAATTTATTTTCCTGTTTAGACAAAAAGTTTTTGACTCGTTTTTATTGCAAATAAAACATCATTTTATTTTCTCATTAATCAGTTTTTATTTATATATTTCTTAAAGCAGCATAAAGGATCAATATTTATATGAATGATAGTTAATAATATAATTATAGTTAATTGAACTATACTTGAACTCAGTGTTAATTATTGTTTTATCTCCTCTGTTTTAAATATATTATAGTATTAAATATTAAAAGTATTTTATTAATTATTTTAACTAATTATATTTCTGTTTTGTCTCCTTCAGGCGGTCTGAAGAGCGACCGGAGCTCGTTGGTCTCCAGTCTCGATTGTCTCTCCAGCATCGTGGAGCGAATCTCCACCGACAACAGCAGCCTGCTGCCGGCTGCCGACGGCTCCCCGCCGACGGACCCGGCGGGCGAGGCGGTGGCGGCAGCGGCGGCCCCGGGTCCCGTCCAGATCCCCTCCTCGACCACCAGCCAGGACCCAAACCTGATCTACCAAGTCCTATAGACCCCCCCCTCACTCACAACCTGGGACTTACCATCCTGTCACACAACAGATCCACAAGAGCTGGAAATGTACGGAAGCTCGTTCATGCCACAAAAACATCTCCACAAACTTACTTACTGGCTTTTTACTGAGCTTTCAGCCACTTTACACGTGGTCTTCATCACCGGGTGGAGTTTAATGTTTTATATCAAATTTTATAGATTTTATAGTTTCTAAATGGAAACTCCACGTGTTGATGAAGACCGTCAGATACAGTCGAAAGCTCTGGAAACGAGCTACAATGTGGGCCTCGAGATTTTATTTTTTAACAAGAATTTTAATTCAGTCTTAATTTAAAAGCTGTAAAATAAGGAATGTAAATAATAATTGTTTAATAAATTACACGACACTAATTTCTTAAAATAACATTTTTTCATGTTACAGAAAAATGTATTAAAGACGGAAAAAAATAGCAAATTAAAGTCCTAATTTTGGTCTTTTTAATTAATTAAAATTAGATTTTATCATTCCAACATTTACACACATTTAATTTACTTTCCTGGCATGAACAACCTTCCGTATTTGACCCCCAGATTCCCTTTTTGTTGCTGTTAAAAAAAAAGTTAATATTAGATGTAGATAAAAAAAAAAACACTTGAATGCTGGGAAATGTAGTTTTTTTCTTTTTGCAACATTTTTAAAAACAGGTTTACTGACAAATAGAGTTCAGTTCTTGCTGTATTTTTTTTTATTTTAAGTTATGAAAGAAATATTTTAAGGCTCAGCTGAGTCGTTCAGATGGATTTTTCTTCCTCTCGGTTTCTATTTGATGAAGGACGGAGGCCAAAATATACCAAAAAAAAAACAAACAAACATCCATTTACATTCCTCCACGTTCGTCCATCTGAAGTCCTAAAATCCCCGGCTGATCGATTCCCTCAGGAAACACAGATCAATAATCCTGTGATATTTCAGAACGATTTAAGTGATAAACAAACAACCACAGACACAAATAACTAAATGTTGGACCATTTTTCTGTTTCTGTACATATTCTGTAAATAAGAGCCGATTTGTTCCAACTGAAAGTATTGATTATGTATTTAATGTTTCCGTCTGTATGTGCTTTTGTTTGTTGTGAAAATGTTAAACTTTATATTTATACATCTGAAAACTGAGTGACAGTTTATTAAATAAATGAATCTGCTTATTTATACAAAAAAAACTCTGACTCTGAATTTGTATTTATTTTTTATTTATATATTATTATTATTATTATTATTATTATTATTATTATTATTATTATTATTACCACCTGAGAACGTATTATTAATTTTATGTTATTATTCAGGGTAATGAAAATAGTTAATTTTAGTTAACATTCGACATTTAGCAACTTTATAGGCTTTATAACTACTACATTTATTTATTATTATTATTATATTATTATTATTATTATTATTATTATTATTATTATTATTATTATCATCATCATTATCATCATTACTACTACTACTACTACCTACTACAAAAATCTTAATAAAACTTAAAAATAAATCATGAATTGTGAAATGATCTTCTGAATTCTTTTTATTTTCATTCTCTAATTTTTAATAATAATAATAATAATAATAATAATAATAATAATAATTCACAAACATTTATTTTATAATAAATAATAAACATTTAACCCATCGACTGACATTTTCTAATTCAACAGAGCAGCAGCGCCACTGTGTGGTTGCTCTGAAGAACTGCAGGTATTTCTGCTCTATTTATTTCTCATTCTTACAATAAATTAGAATATATTCACATATAATCCTGAATATTTAACAACCTTGAGTTTTTAAAATGCACAAACTAACTGTTTGAGTTTTATGTATTTTAAAAAGACCAAACGAGGTTCCGGCATCACAAATTAGCTATAAGCTATATATAGGCTATAAATGATGTATTTGTTTGTTTATACTACAAACAAACAACACATACAAATGTTTACTTGAGCGTCCACGTTGTAGATTTGTCTGCCGCTGCAGGGCCGGACCTACAGGGGTGGCAACTGCATTTTCACTAATATGAACAAAACCAGTGTTTCTGTGACGCAACAAAATGTCTGAGAAAAGAGAGAATGATGGTGGAACAACTTGATTCAGTAGCAAAGATAAAGTATACAGTTAATAATAAACTTGATCTGATTTTAACTCCACAAACTTTCTAGTTTAAGTTAAGTAAATACAGGAAGCATCAAGTTTCCATCATAGTCCGGTTAAATCTTTGTGTCTGAAACATCTAAAATGTCTTCTTAATCTTTAAAGCTTTATATCTGATATCAACTGAAATCATCTCATCAACCAACAAACCGATAAGAACTTCTTTAGTTTCTATGGCACTGACCTCTGCAGGCTTTATAGACCTCTGTCCGCGCAAACACAGCTGTTCACAATCTACAACCACCTGTTTCCTGTTTCTCTCAATCAGGTGGTGAAAATATTTAGGAAGGTTATTTGGTTCAAAAAAAGACATCTAATAAATAATAATGACTTATTGATCAGTCCATGAAACAAGAGCTTTCTGATCAGATTTTAAAACCGAATTTAAAGCTCCAAAAAGCCCCCAAAACGATGAATCAATACACCAAATGATTAATTGATCCAGTAGTTCCACTAACATACTGTGCATGCTTTCTGGTTGTAAACATTTATATGTATAAGTAACTGTGTTTATATAGTTTTATTTTAATTTAATTTACTTAAATATATGAAAGTCCATTTATGCCAAGAGAAGAAGAAAAAAGTAGTGAGTCAAAATGATAAAATACTAATTCAACAATTAAAATTGAATTCTATAATTGACTCTATAAGTTGAACGTATGCGATATTAAGTAATAACCTCTGAGGTAGAAAATCAGTATGTTAAAAGTCAGAATATTTTAATTTAAATATTTGTATATATTCACTGTAACCTGGTGTCGTAAAATGACAAATTAACCTCAATACTTTGAATAATTTAAAGCTGTTTGGATGAAATAAAGAAATGTGCAGAGCCTCCGTATCCTGCTGACTACACCGTTAAAGGTTCAATTCAACTCTGCGGTTAGAAAACAGTGTTGAACAAACGACTTTAAAATTACACGGCTAAAAATACTGAACTTTATTGATTTTCTGAATAACAACAGATCTACAGACATGGCTTGAAGAGTCACACTTTATTTACAAAAATACCGAGAACCAAACAGTGGAGGGCGAGGAAGCATGACGGCGAACAAGTTTTAATAGTTTCTTTTTTTTAATTCCTATTGAACAGCAGCTAAAGGCTCCTGGTATCAGGACGTATGTTGATAAAGTTAACCTCAGCATTACTGGCGCCTTCTGAGCTACGACCTTCGCCACCGTGTGCGTTGTTTCATCAGGCGTGTGTCCGAGACGATCGCAGTTTGGTTTCTGAGCAGAGGCGCGGCGAGCCCGTCTACTTTCTGCGGCGAGCGGCGGCTCCCTTCTTGCTGCTGTAATGCGAAAAAACACACAAACAATACAGAAAAACGCGTCAGAAAACTTCTTACAATGTTCGTTCAGTTGCCAAAACTCAAAGTAATGATTATTGATTATTCAGTTTTCTGTCTTGTTACATTTAACATTTGTTTTCTTGGAAACGTCAAATTTTAGGTTACTTTTATCTCCGAATTTTGCTAACGAAATGCTAATTAACACAGAAAACAACCTAAACTATAACTGGTTCTGCCTCCTATTTAAATATTTTACATTACCAATATTAAAAATAATCACTTGATTATTCATTTTCCTGAGTTGTTTTTGTTTTCTTTGAAAATGAATCTGATTGGCTACACCTACAACTTTGCAAATGAAATGCTAATTAACACAGAAAGCAGCTAACACTAAAATTAATTCTGCCTCTTGTTTTCAATATTTTTTATTGCCACATTTCAACATAATGGCTATTAATTCTTCAGTATTGTCTCATGTAACAGTTGTTTTTGTTTTGTTTGTATATTTATCTGATCGTACTAAACATTTCGCTAGCTAAAGTAGCTATTCTTGTCCTCTTCACCAAATCTTTAGCATTTCCTCGAAATTTTAAAAGTAACTGAACAATTAAGGTTTGTACAGTTTTAATAATTAAATAAATGTGAAAATGGAGGCAGTTGATTAGCATGTGTGCTAAATCCCTTCAGAAAATAAATAAAATATATAAATAAATTATTGCCAAAACTCAATATAATGACTATTATTTCATCAGTTTTCTGTCTTGTTGCATATAACAGTTGTTTTTGTTTTGTTTGTATCTTAATGTGATCGTTCGAAACCTTTGGCTAGCTAACGTAGCTACTGACCGCTCTTGTCCTCTTTACCAAATCTTTAGCATTTCTGTTACTGAACGATTAATGAAACAAACTATAGCTATAAGCTATAGAAAACTGGAGATAATGTCTTTTATTAAACTGCTTATATTCGAAAATAATCCAGAGAAAATAATAATAAACTAAACTACATAAATATCTAATTTCATAAAGTACATTTCTTGTGAGAAACTTCATGCAAAATGCCCCAAAAAATGCAAAATTTCGAACCAACAACGTCTCTGAACGTGTTGAAGTTCCTGTTCAATCACAAACTCATGCATCACTTACCTCCACTGACTGAATCATATAGTCCCACTAACGTACTGATACCTTACAGGTGTAAAGGAGCTCGCACACAATGAAGTAAACTGGTCAGTATGAAGAGGAAAGACCTGAACCTTCACACCGAACAAGGATGCCCTATTTTACGTCATAATTATATTTTTCAACATTCTCCGGGTTGGGTCTGCAGCTCAGTGGTACAATAATGTAAATATTCATCCTTTTTCAGAGGACAGCAGGAGGCTCCTCACATACTGACACCAATATGTTTACATTTAATATGAAATGTAATATCTGGTGTTACATTAATGAGACACAAAAACCCACCAGGGGTCACGAAGTAGAAAAAAATGTAGAAATCTGTGCGCACAGATTTGTTAAACCAAACCAGTTGTTTACGATCTTCGCTCGGTTTAACAAAACCGTTTGTACGAAATTCCACAATTATTTTCTCACAATATGAACATGACAGAGCCTCCGTAAAGAAGGACGAAAGCAGCAGCTTGCTTTTTTTTTATTACTAACGTGTGGGCGGCAGATTAATTAAAAAAAAATGTCTCCAACGTAAATAACTCGATTTTCAGGCATTTAAAGTCGAGTTTTCTACATTAGCTGGTTAACTAGCCTGCCGTGTAAACGAAAAGTATTTTTTCTTTCAGTGATTAAAATTTCAACCTGTTAAATTTAATATTTCCGTTATAATAAGAAAACAAACTGATGACAAAATGCTGCTTTCGTGTATTTTTGGTGACATGTTTGACCCGTGAGGTCGTCCTCTGCCTTCATGTTGACCTCCAGAAAGGTCGGTGTTTGGACCTAAACACTTACTGATGATGTTAATTTGTTTATTATGGAAGACCATTACCGCCAATGTGACAAAGATTTTCTCCAAAAAATGAGAAACTTTCTCCAAAAAATGAGAAACTTTCTCCACAAAATGAGAAACTTTCTCAAAATAATGACAAACTTTCTCAAAATACTGACGTATTATCTCAGAATAAGTTTCAAGCTGAACCTTCTTGCACAACAATGGATTGATGCTTAAAATACAAATATTTCCTTTTTTTTGTCTAATTCTGTATAGCATGTGCTGTCTAATGGGTCTTATTTCTGTGTTTTGTATTATCTCTGCTTACAAATAATAAAATTTGTTTAAAAAAAAATATATATTTTGATAAACTTTCTCATTATTACGACTTACAGAATCCTTTTTGTTTTCGTCACATTGGCATAAAAGGGCTTCTATAGTTTATGGCTTTTTTGTCTCAACAAATTGACAAAAAAAAAATAAAAACTGATAAAAATATACGAAGAAAATGTTGAGATTTGAGTGAAAAAGTTTAAAAGTACAAACATTAAACTGATCTTCTGTCTCTACTAAGCAGCTGTTTTTCTGCCATAAACTGACATAAACTGTCCTGAATGGTTACGACAGTCAATGTCTGCGGGGTGGGAGCGGGGGGATTCACGCAGTGTCAGTGAACGCACCAGCGACGGTACTTACTGCTTCTGTAACTCATCAATTCGGTTCCTGTACGTGAGCACCTGGAAAACGACACAGCAGCAGCTTTAACACAGATTTACCTCTGAGAAGGACGGACTTCCCTCTGCTCTCCTGGACACGATCCACGGGCTGAGGCATCATGGGAAACCAACATACGGTGCGATCAGCGTTCACCTTTAACCGATTTTAACTTACTGTTTTTATAATGTTCAAGTCCTGAAATAAGACTTTAATTCTAAGAAATTATAGGAGAAGAAAGGTGATAATCTGATCGTTGGCCGTCGTGGTTTCCCATAATAAAGAAATGTTTTAAAGTTTAGAGAGATTTGGCTTCAGTTCGGCTCTGAAACCTCTAAAACTCAAACTTACCTGAGAGGATGAGGAGGAGCTCCACCTTCGTTAATCAATGAACTTAAAGTTTGTCCCAAAGATGACATCACCGATCGATAAACGCGTTGAAACCATTAGACCACTGCAGAGCATTGATTGTAACTGCCTCATTCAGTTTAACTAATGTACGGAAGCTCAGAAGTGTCAATGTTAAAATAAATATCATTATAACAGAACTTTTTACAGAATAAAACAAATACTGATATTCAAAAAGAGAAAATGTTAATTTCTTTTTTTGTTTTATTAATTTTAATAAAATACTTGCTGAGCTCTATGAACTAACTAACGTTTTTTTTTTAATTATGTTTAAAAATAAAAGTAAATTCAACTGTTCAACAGCAGATGTCACTTTTGGAAACAAACTCTTAGTTTCTCTTTCACTTTGTTTTTGTTTTTGTTTTTGGTGGTGCGTCGCCTCCTCTCTCGGCCAGCGGGGGGGCGCTCTGCTGTCTCTGACCTCCCATCATGCTAACATGCAGCTAGCCTGAAGCTACCGGGCACAAACACCCCCTGCTGAGCTCTACTTACAATTTACTGAGCTCCTCAACTCTCTTACGCAGGGTTGTAACCTAGAGAAGGAAATCAAAGAGCACATCTGGGGTTCAAATCGGGGACGTTCGCTCTCACGTCAGGAACGCCAGCGAACACACAGCAGCTCGTACAGGTGGAGAAAGGTGAGTTAAATGTCGTACGGAAGTTTTAAAATGTGCAGAAATCAGAGCGTACGTACCGGAGACGAAGCTGTGGATGAATGTGTGCATTTAGAGCCGTGTATCGCTCACTTTTATAGACTTTTATTTTGAAGAAATATAATTTAAAAAATTAAAAAATAAATGTTTTTCTATAAAATTCAGCAAAAGAAGCCAAAGTTGTTAAATGTTAAATGTTGGAAGTAAAAGCAGATTTTAAAACAGATTGAAACAATCTGATAAAAACAAAAAAATACAAGTTATAAATCAGAAAATTATGTTTTTGGTTTGTACAAAATAAGTTCCGACACCCGGCTCTAAATGTACTGTTTATAAACATTAACAAAAAGGAGTTTTAATTCAATTATTAATAAAATCTGATTTATAAACGTATATAACTTCCAAACTCCTTCTTAATTTTGTGCTTTAATTAAAAAAAACTACCATAAAAAGTTAATTTAAATGTTATTTTGAGTAGCATTCATCAAACACACAATACATTTATTAACCATAAATGTATAAATTATAACATGAAATAACCTCCTGTTGTCCTGTAATATCTGTACATATATATATAGTATATAATATTAAAATGAATGTATAACATTAAAGATGGTTCCTCACCTCGTACTTCTGCCTCTTCAGTCTCTCCATGTGGTCGAACTTCTCAGACTCCAGCTGAGTCATCCACTCATGCAGCTCGTTGATCTTGTCCCTGCGACCATAAAACACGATAAACAAACGTTTAGTCGACTCGCCGACGGAGGAGTGGAGGAGGTTAAAATGTGGAGGGAGTCGTACTTCAGCTTGTCTTCGTTCAGGTGGTCGATGTTCAGCTGCTTGCGTCTGGCGGCCAGAATCTTCTTCTTCTTCTCTCTCTCAGTTTCTTTCTTTCCTCCTCTCTTCTGGTCGGCCTGGAGGTTAATCAGACGAAGGTTAACATCCATGCTGAGACTGATCGACTAACTTCAGGAACTTTTACTTGTAATGGAGTATTTCTACTTTTACTAAAGTTAAGGGATCTGTGTACTTTTCTGAGTAAAACAAATAAAAATACTGTAACAAACCTTAAAATGTTTATTATAATATTGTATATATGTTTATATTTATATACTGTAAGTTATATTCTGTTTACTTATATTTATATGGAAGACCATTTCTGCCAATATTATCTCAAAATAATGACATATTATTTTAAAAATAATGACTTATTTAGTTTTTGGATCTCTAATGTTCAAAGTTAATAGTAACTAAAGCTAACAAAGTAATATAGTGCCGTAAAAAGTAGAATATTCACCATAAAGTCCAGGTATAAACACCTCAGAATGATACGTACAGTATTAAAGTGGTAGATTTACAGCCCTGTGACACAGATTACAAGCTAATCCTCCCGTAGGTATAACAGTATATCTATATAACTATATAACAGTTTAACTATATAACAGTTTAACTATATAATAACTGTGTGTTACTGACTCTCTGCAGGTGGCTGCTGTAGTTGGAGCCCATGTTGGACAGAGCCGACTTCTTCTTGGCCTCATCATCAGCCTTCTTCTTGATGTCGGCCTCCTCCCTGATCCGCCTCTCTTCCTGGTTCACACAAACAACAATAATAACGTGTGAATCAGGTTTACGTAATCTGAGGGGCTAAAATATTAATAATTACATTTTTCTGGGACAATTTAGTAAATTTTTTAAGGATATTTGGTCATTTTAATAAATTTCCAGGTTATTTTCCCTGACTGAAAAAAAATCTCTAAATTTTCCAGGTTTTCCAGGAAGTGTGGGAACCCAGGAGTTACACAAACTGATGGATAAAGCAATAAACATTAAATAAATAAGGTTTTAAAATGACAATTAATGGCTAAATTAAAGAAATACAAAGAATGAAACCGCGAATACAGAAATAAATACAACATGTTGACCCACACTAAACAAAATAAGACTTAAAAATCAGGACTTGTAGAGACTTTTTTAATAAATAAAGTACTTTTAATTGGTTGAACTGTTGGATAAAGATCAAACCACAAACCTCACGTCTGGCCTGGCGCTCTTTCTCCTTCTCGGCACGAACCCTCTGCTGCTCGGCCCTCTCGGCACGACGCTTCTCCTGCAGGAGTCAAACAATCAGCCTCTTAATTAATTAATTAATTAATGACCTGAATGTTCAGTTTAAAGCGTCAAGCAAAGGATAAACTAATATATTTAATATCCTTAGTGGTAGTTAACTTAATTAATGCTTATATAATTAACATTATTTACCATTCTATACTCATTTATCATTATTTTTTAAGATTTTTCCTTACAATTTATATATTTATCCTTAATCCTTAATTACATAATTTATTTCATTTACTTTTTGAGTATAACTTTTATTAAATCCGATCTTTATTCCTGTAAAATAGATTCTGTTGTATTTTATTGTCATTTTTATGTTTGTGTTCTAGTTTTAAATCTACTTTATTTAACTTTTACTGCCTCCTGTCTCATTATCTGGTCTGTGACGCACTTTGAACGACACTAAACTGTATGAAAGGTGCTACAGAAGTAAAGATTGATTGATTGATAAGTATTCCTTACTCCTTCCATCCTAGGAACAATACTGTAGCTTGTAAGTGTTCATACTCTCCACTAATGCACTTTATTCTGCACCATTTAACCCACTAGAGGTCGCCAAAGGACTTCTTATTGATTTTAATGTGTGTAAAAAAACGTTAAACACACAGCCGGCCGATATCTGGAAGAAAAGTTAAATGTGGAGGAAACTAAACATCTGCTCTTATATTCTGACTTTATTGTCAAATTATAAGAGAAAGTGTGTAATTCTTGTCTAATTGTATATATTCTTTATATTCTAGATTTTTATGATATTTTCTTTCAATATATTTTTATTTGATTACATTTTATTATATTTTTGACACTTTTTCTGTGCACTACATTTCATAAAGGAACTTATCTTAATCAATAAAGTAACTTATCTTAATCAATAAAGGAATTTATCTTAATCTAACAATGGTCACATTAGTCTGTATGATTGTTAAAGATGATAAAAAAAATGCAAAATACAGACAGAAAATTGTATAAAAAGTTCTAAAAAACTGCAAAAAATTAATCTGAATCGTTCGTTTTACACAAACTTCCTGCAGTTACTGAATGTAATATGAAATATATATAAAATATGTCACTGAGTCGGTTTATTAAATTATATTAAATATGATTTTAAAGCCTCGGCGTGGCTGCAGAAACTCACAATCCTGTCCTTGAGGGCGATCAGCTCCTCTTCCTCCTTCTTCCTGCACTCAAAGTGAGCATCGATCAGCGCCTGCAGCTCAACCAGATCCTTGTTCTGACGTTTCTTCTGGATGTCCTGTAGATTTCCCCCACGAAAAGCATCAAAGAAAACACACTCAGAAACCACAATAACAACCTTGACGTTAACAGAAATCCTTTTAAATGTCGTCACTTCCGCTTACATCAAAGTCCACTTTCTCACCATCCGGGATTTTGGGCGCGCTGGGCCTGCAGGAGAGAGCGGGTTGGGGTCCTTTAGCGCTTTGATTCTGATTATAATGTTGTTTTTTAAATGTTTTTCAGCTCTTTTCAGCCACTCAGATCCATTAATATATATATTTATATATATTTAACCACAGGATGAAGGGAAACATTACTGAACTTTGGCTTCTCCTCTGCGGGTTAGGAGATGAAGAGGGGACAAGTACATGTCATTGGGTTAGAAACAAAGCAGATTATGTTGTTTCTCTCAGGCATTACATGGATTAAACTATTAGATTAATTAAATGGTTTAAAGTTTGGGGGGTTAGGACGACAGGTACAAATAAAACATCAGTTTCAGGAGATCTGAGAAACATCTGTGAGTGCAAATAAACTGAATTATTTTGCGTCTTTATTTGCCTAAAATGTTGTTTTTATGTGTTTTTTTCTTTTGTTTGTTTTTTTTTTGGCTTGACCCCAAAATCATTTTTTAACACAAGCAAGACAAAGTCATTCCCCGACACACACCCAACATTTCTTTCTTTTCCCAGAATCCCCGGCGGCGCCATGCCATGCAAGAGGACGGGTCACATAGCAAAGAGAGTATCGGTGGGGTCGCTGCGCAGTGAAGCACGTTGTTAGCGTCTCATATTCTTTCACCCTTTTTCTCCGCTAGCTAATTTTCACAAAAACTTTCAAATAAATATTTAATTTAGTCAGAATTTGAATTTCCAATCTTTCGGTGCCATTGGGCAGCGCTCCTAGATTTTGAAAGACAGACAAAATTTGTGACAGACATTTTGTGAACAGCAGGCGTCCCCCCTTCCCT